TGTTCGCCATTCGTTAGAACTGGGTGCACGCCAGGAAACAATGCTTCCCTGTCGGTTGGCCAGATTTTATTGATAACCCCGATCTTGAGTGACTGGCCTCCTCCACCCACTGAGGCCTGTGTGCGGTCACATCCCACTCGCCATCTCATGGAGGTTTGTGCAACACGGAACACACTAATAACAAACTGCTTCAGCCTATCTGTCCAATGGCATAGCACAACGAGGCGTCTACAAAGGCACCTGTCGACATTTTGCGACATAAGCTAGATAAATGATGACTCATAGAGAAAGGGACAGAGAGAGAATATGCCACAAACGATGTGGCAGTCTGCCCGATCAGAGACCCTAATCCAATCAAATGTAAGCGGCACGGATATCATTGCTGATTGGATGATGTAATGCAAACCACTGAAATTACTCCAGTCCCGTGATTTAATCCATGCGGCTTCTTCCTCGCAGCAGCAGTAGCCTCGCTTTTTTGACTCCAAACTGTGAATCTCGGTTTGCTTTTTTTCTATTTGCAGTCGATAGAACCAAATAAATGTTTCACCGTTTGGCATCTGCACATGACTTCCTGGCCCGATATGGGAGTACCGGATATGATTCAGCTAGAAGGCCTAATGGACAAGCATCAGGTTTTACGACGAAGTAACGAATTGGAAGGTCCCACGGTTGTACATTGTCGGTAAGTGCCGTGATTGTTCATGCACGCAATGAGCCGATCAACCTTCCACATGAAAGCAATTGAATGCAAGAGAACTACACTGTTTTGACCGCATTCTTTCACTTCACATAAAGTATAAGTATCCCACGAGTCCGAATCCAGGATGTGTACCATACAAATCACGGCAAAGTTATTTTTATTAAAATAAAAAGTGGCATCACTTTCTTGTGGGCGAAGTACTACCAGATTGCCCATGCCAAGACAGGTGCATTGTATTAATGATTTCTGTTGTCTTGCCGAGGTGTATGATCGATATGAGTGCCTCTTGACTAGTCCCCAATAATGAGAGAGGATAACGCAGCTGAGAAGAAACAGTTTGAATATCTTATTGATCATGGATCAATAGGCAAAATGGGGGGTAAAGTAAGCGTACGAGAAACGTCGTGATAACGCACCAATCAGATCGCGACCTTGATACTCCGATTGGTCTATCGGACGATAGCTGTCTGATTCGCCTTAGTCGTCCAATCCGGAATCGATTCGTTTTTGGGTGTCACTAATGCACGTGTGGTGTAAGGCGGGTCGGTGAGCGGCCTGACAGGTTCTGTGCGCTACGTCATAACAATTTCACAACCGGAGCCTTCGGTTAGCTGAAAGCCTGACGCGCAAGAATGCGGGGCAGTCTGTGAAGACCTCAATCCATTGGGGCGGGTTTTCAGTTCAGCGGATCATACACCCTTTGGATGGGGTTGTACCGCCAAAGTGCCCACTTTAGGCGATATCCACTGCCAAAACCATAAAGGTGTATTTGTGTCTGTGGTTTGTAGGCCTATATATAATTCGTTTGGGATCAGGGACCTTAAGCAACTGTCCTAGGGGAGCTGTCAATGATTCACTGACCCGGTTACAGCCCCGGATACTGGCGTTTCGACCTTATATTGGTAGGTTCGCCGATGTTATGGAAATTTTTGCACACGAAAAGGATTTTTTTAACTCTATCATGAATAACCTCGGTTAATTGGTTTGTTTTTCATTGTCTGCTAACATGTCACTATCCCGTGATTAGTTTGTCGGCGGACATTAAGAATGCATGCTCCCTCCCCTTTTTACCACTCAAAATCACATTCCCTTACCTGCGACTTTATGCAAAATTACGTTATTTTTTCCATCATCATAATAATAACAACTAAGCTTTCCTGGCTACTTATAAAAAGGTTGATTTTGGTCGTTTTTGTTTTACTTCGTGCCTTTGATACGGTGACGGGCCTCCCAACCTGCACAGTTTTCTAGGGCACATTGAGTGTTTGGCATGTGTTGATTATCCGCAGGACTGAGGACTACTTCTGCGTCCAGGGTTCCGTAGGTGAAATGTTTGGGAACATTTTCATAAGGCCCAACGCAGATTATTGTTCAATTTTTCATACGAGACATTTCTCGATGAAATTTTAACTTTACGGGCGCACAGTAAATGCAATTATCCCTGTTAATTTGTGATTTTTTTCACCATTTTTTGTTATCTCTATCCTGTTATAAATTTCACATCTCTATTGACTTTTATTGATACTATCATAATTTTATACCATTATTAGACTTTGAAGTAGGTGATTCATGCCCTTTTCTTGTATACTACTCATTAGTAGGTGACTTAAAATTGCATAAATTCCCTAAGGAGGGGGCATGCATCCTCAACGTCCGCCAGTTTGTCGTTCCCTTCGCAGAGAATTATTGATCCTTTTCAGTAAAAAGTTGAATCAAGTAGGAGTTTAGAACCGTTTAAATGATAAAATTGCTTTAATCAAGTAGTTTTGCCCCATATCACGATAAATGATTGCGTGAGAGTTTAAAGTCAGCGCTACACAATGGGTTTATCCAGTACACCTTAGGGAAAGATCCGAGAACATTAGTCAGCTGACCAAATATGAGTGATCCAAGATCACCATAATGGGACACTATTCTTTTGCGGTTTCCTCAGTTCGACTACCTTCATCTGCTGGTGAAAACAGACACTTCATTTGGATTCCTTCATAGTAGCTGGAAATTGGTTAATCACTCCGCTGTAATCCGATCAAACTGAAGAGCACGACCCTCTTTTTCTAGGTCGATATCCACCTTGTCTATCGATGAAATAGTTGTCACAAACAGATTCGACCAGGTTTGTTTACAAATACAGCATATGATCATGTGTTGCACTTCGCTAAATTTGTCTCCCCTCGCATAGAGTCATTTCGTGAAGGCTTCTTAGTTACCCAAGAACGTTTATTATACTTCTAAACTAGTCCAGCTGATTGATATGGAGACGTTCTCCACAATCTCTCGCTCAGTTATTGCACCACATTAACATACTGAAGGTCAATATTGCTCATATTTAAGGGAATGATCACTATAGAAAGAAATTTCCTGATGAACTTCGACGTCCACACACAAAGCAAAGGAAGTGTGTGAGCCGAAAAACTGCAAAGCTGTGTCGACCGCGTCTGGTTTCATGCGAATTCCGCGACCCAACTGGGGCTCGAACCCCCTGGACAGCAGAGGAGGAAGGCAAAAAAACTACACAGTTGATCCCCGAGTAAACTGTTTCTCTGTTTGTCCCCCACGTGATACTTAGTGCAACAACATTTGTGCAAAATTTTCGGTCGTCTGCTGTATCATCCCCCCTCCCACACACACATACGCGACACCGTTCTACTCCTCTGTCTCTGTTCTCAGCGCCGGACTCGGTCGTACGGGGACGTTCATCGTGTCCGAATTGTTGAGGAAACATGTGCACGAAGGTGCTTATGTGGATATCGCCGGAATTATTCTGCAACTGCGTCGATGTCGACCTTTTATGGTGGAGAATGTGGTAGGTGCACTCAAAAATGTTTTCAATTCGATTCTGCGTCTCTCTCCTCTCTCTGTCCTAAACAGATGTACATACGCAAGCTCTGGTACATCCTCACACACGTCTGGCTAAGAACACACCAGATATTGTTATTTGACCTTCCGTCCGCATTCGAATAGTTAATGTTATATTTTTTTGACAACGCAATGTTATCATGAATGGAAGGTGTGGATCGCTCAGGTACGAAGATCTACGGTTTGCTTATCGTCTCAGGCTACCCAGCCTCAGGGATTTTTATAGGCAAGTCATATGATACGCGTGATGTTGAGCTGAGCGACCACGAAGCAGTGGGATTAGGGTTCGAAACTAAAACCTTGAACTCTAGACCCTACAAAGCATATAGTTTGAAATTCCACTAACATGAGTAAAGTAAACCTCATATGACGTGTCATACAGTTTTGTAAACTAACTGGGGCCTGACTGGTTCGGATATACGCAAACGATCCGTGCTGAGAGCACAAAACGTGACACCAAGCAGACACAACTTTGACGCCAAAAAAGGAAAATACGGTACTCCCAACGAGAGTGAAACCCGCATGAGATAGATGCACAGACTTTATGGTCAGCCAATTTACGTGGGCTAAACCAAACCGAACCGTAACCAAAATCATATAGAAATACTTCCCGCTCCCAAAATATGCTTGTGGGAGCTCACGTTGATCTCAGTAACTTCGCACTATCTTTCTTTATTTCACTCCACGCCATCCCCGTTTGCCCCCCCCCCCAACCGACCTTAGAAACAATACATATTCTTGCATGAATATGCAAATGCACTGATTTCGGATCCTGCTCGTGGTGTTTCCGAGTGATGTGGTCTCATCTCAATGTGAACTCATACGCATGACCAATTACGAACCGCAGTTGGGCGATTTGATGGTGCACTTACGTGATATCTTGAATCGTGACACTGCGACACTGCTCCGATTTTTGATGATATTACCTGATGAAATTGTTCACAATACATTTAAGTTCTCTACAGTACAGTTCACTTCAATTTGTGCAACCATTAACCATGCGCTTTTGTGCCTCGTTTTTGGTTGCTGACTTTTGGTGCCCTATTTGGATAAAACAGCAGCATGATTAGAATGTTGACAACGGATTAAAGCGGAAGATAGCGCATTTATATAGATTGCGGTTACAAGAATACTGAGTAGATCCATGAGCGCCGCTGTTTACGACACCCAGCCATATCGCTCAGTGTCTCTAACCATCGGTGGCCATGATCTCGGAATCCCCAGCCAGGGAACTTAACGGGCCCTATATGACCCAGTTTCCTTTTTAGGGTTTCCATACCCTCATGCCAGGTCTTAGTTTGACCGCCCTTGATCTTTTTCCATCCACTGACTGCTTCGGCAGAAATCGCTCGCCGTGGCAACTTATCTGGTGACATGCGTAACACGTCCCACTTGCTCCAGTGGACGACTGCGATTATCTAAAATTCTACGGCTAACCTCATCATTGCACGTCCGGTTTCCTCACCAGACTCATGCAATGTGACGTAGACAACGGTGTTCG